TATTACATACTGCCTTTTAACAGAGAATGGTGAGCCATCAATATACCAGGAGGCAATAAACAACTCAGATATTTCATTGTGGATGATGGCGATGCAAGAAGAAATCGAAGCCCTTCATAAAAATAATACATGGGATCTTGTGCCATTACCACAAGAAAGGAAGCCAATTGGTAACAAATGGGTCTTCAAAATCAAGCGAAATGGTTATGATCAAGTTGAGAGGTATCGTGCAAGATTGGTGGTCAAAGGATATGCTCAAAAAGAAGGTATTGATTTTAATGAAATCTTTTCTCTTGTGGTTCTACTAACAACAGTTCGAGTAATTTTGGCAATGTGTGCTACATTGAATTTACATCTAGAGCAGCTAGATGTTAAAACAACTTTTCTTCATGGAAATCTTGAAGAAGAAATTTACATGCTCCAGCCTGAAGGTTTTGAAAAAAAAAGAAAAGAAGAACTTGGTTTGCAGGTTGAACAAATCTCTGTACGGTCTAAAGCAGGCACCGAGGTGTTGGTATAAGAGATTTGATTCCTTCATTATGTGCCTTGGATACAACAGACTTAATGTAGACCCTTGTGCTTATTTCAAGAGGTCCGTTGATAACGATTTTGTTATATTGTTGTTGTATGTGGATGACATGCCCAACAAAGATCATATTGAAGAATTGAAGGCACAACTGGCTAGGGAATTTGAAATGAAGGACTTGGGATCAGCAAACAAGATTCTAGGGATGCAAATTCACCGAGACAGAAGTAATAGGAAGATTTGGCTTTCACAAAAGAATTACTTGAAGAAAATTTTGTCACGATTCAACATGCAAGATTGTAAGACAATTTCTACCCCTCTTCTTATTAACTTCAAATTATCCCCTAGTATGAGTCCTAGCAGTGAAGAAGAGAGGATGAAGATATCTCGAGTGCCGTATGCATCGGCAGTGGGAAGTTTAATGTTCACTATGATATGCACAAGACCAGACATTGCACAAGCAGTGGGAGTGGTTAGTCGGTACATGGCGAATCCAGGCAAAGAGCATTGAAATACAGTAAAGAGGATCCTGAGCTACATCAAAGGGACCTCAAAATATTGCATTATGTTACGGAGGATCAAACTTACTAATCAATGGGTATGTAGATTCTGACTATGTATGGGATTTGGATAAAAGAAAATCTACTACAAGATATGTGTTCAAAGTTGCTGGTGGAGCTGTAAGCTGGGTTTCAAAATTGCAGTCAGTTGTGGCTACATCCACAACAGAGGCAGAATATGTAGCAGCTATACAAGCCAGAAAAGAAACAATCTGGTTGAAAATGCTATTGGAGGAGCTTGTGCACAATCAAGAGTATGTCTCTTTATTTTGTGACAGTCAAAGCGCCTTAGCAAGGAATCCAACATTTCATTCAAGGACAAAGCACATACGAGTTCAGTACCATTTCATTCGTGAAAAGGTAGAAGAAGTGACGGTAGATATGCAGAAGATCCATACCAAAGGCAACATAGCAGTTTTCATGACGAAAGCGATCAATGCTGATAAATTTACTTGGTGTCGATCCTCTTGTGGCCTGATAGAGACATAAGCAACATGATGGTACAAGGTAGAAAGAATGATGTGAAGATATGATTGTTCCAATCAAATCTTCAAATGAGAGATTATTAGTTGTCATGCAACTAATAATAGTTGCATAATGCATAATAATGGTTCATAATGCATTGTAAGTTGGCAACAATAATGGTTCATAGTTGGCACTAATAATGGTTGAAAAGTTACATGGAAAAATTACACATTTTAGTCATTGTACTTTAGGGTATTTACAAGATTAGTCATTAAGCTTCAACTATAAATACCCTAGCTCATTTAGCTTCAACTATAAATACCCTAGCTCATTTAGCTTCAAAATCATCCCAAATCATTCTAGCTTTCTCCCAATACTAGAGAATTTAGAGAGTTTCTTGAGAGTTGTTTTCTCCTTTTTATCAAGAGAGAATTATCATTGTTTTCTCCTTGGTAGATCGAGAGAAGTTGTAATTCCTATTTTCTCATAGTGAAATTCTTCTACCGTTGCCCGTTGTTTTTACCCTATATTATTTAGGGGTTTTCCACGTAAATTTGTGTCTCTTTTTATCTTCATTTTTATTTTCTCAAATTATCAGTTGCGATTTTGCTTTATCCAATAACCGTCTTCGGCAACAAACCATTCAGTCAATTAAATTAAATAAATTTTTGAAACGATAGTTAAACCAATTAAAAGTTACATGTTGATTTTTTTCAATAAAAAACAATAATTTATCTAACACCCTTATTTAAATAAGAATTCATTGAAAATATATTTAAGACGGTCTCCGATAACATTCGTGTTTGAGTATTATTATAGTTGATAAATCTTCGATTTCGATATTTGACGATTTCAAGTTGATTAAAATTATAATGTATTGACAAGAAATATCACTTGTATCTTAATTGACATTAACTCTCCTCTTAATCCGAGCTATATAATTAACCCTCAACCGTCTACCAATCTTCTACACCAAACATAATGTCAGCTAACATTTCCTATAGCAAAAAAAATTGTCCTTCAAGAATGTTTAAGAGTCTGCTAACAATTTTCTTGGTCGGATCGACCACTGTTACGGCAATGGCTAATAACGTGACAGAGGAGTTGTTTTTATGTGATATTTTTAATCAGATAGATCCAAGTTGGGAAGGCAAGAACTTTTATAAGGATGCATTTCTTGAGGCTCTCGGTTCTTTTCCGCAAATTGGTTCAGCTTGTCGTACAGAGATTCCAGCTTTCTTTGCTCATGTCATCCAAAAAACTAGACGTATGGTCCCTCTCTTCATCTTATAACCCTAAAATTACGATCTAGACATACATGCATCACGTAACGTTGTGTTTATTACGATTGCGGATGTAACGGATCCTTTTGTTTTGTACATATTTTTGCTACATAGAAGAGATATGAGGTCCAAGCTTCCCCAACAGTCAATACTGTGATCCGACCAACTTTCCGTGCAACCCCGACAAAAGCTACTACGGTCGCTCGTTATTACTAATTTTATATTTTAGTTTCATTTTGGTCACTCGTTATTAAAAAATTAACAAAACTGTTGATGTGGTATTTTTTTCAATGATGATATGACACTATCTTATGGTACCATGTCAGAATCACTGTTAATTTTTTAATTGTGGATGACGAAAATGAAAGCAAAATGTCATGTTAGTGATGATTTAAAAAAATAGTTAAATGATCAAAACGGAACCAAAATAATAACTGGATGACCAAATATGTAGTTTATCATTTTATTTTTTAACATCTCAAACTTCTAAAACCGCGTCCCATCTTCAAACACAAGTCATCCTTAAGCCACTAAAAATGAATTCTTTAAGAAGAAAATTAAAGCTACTAATAATTGTCTTACGTTTGTCAAATAATAATTAGGCAATTCTTAATTGATCTTAATTAGCTCTCCGGCATTTGTCAAATATAAATTAGGCAATTATTAATTGATCTTAATTAACTCTCCCCAATTCCGTTTTGAAAAATTAAATACCAAAAGTTAAGTCCTAAATTTCATAAATATATTTTACAAGTATTAAAATTATATTAAAATTTTTATAACATTATTTGAAAATTATGAATATAGATTTTTCTTAAATTTAAATGCATTAATATATATATATATATATATATATATATATAATGCAGTCTATTTACAACTCGTACAACATCAGGTAAACTCAACAACTTGTATCTATATTTTGTGGAAAGAAAACGATTTTTTACCATTTAGATCACTCAATAAATTCATTTAACATTCACGAGTAGGGATGGGCATGAGATCCGAATCCGACGGGTTCCGACCTAACTCGACCTGATCGGTCGGGTTTTCTTAAAAAAAAAATCAGAGTTAGGTCGTTTTTTTAAGTGTGATGTTCGGGTCGGGTCGAGTTCGAGTTTAGGGTGGAAAATACCCGACCCGAAAAATATATAATTTAATTTACTGACCCTATTCCCATATGTAATGGAGTAAAGGGAGGTAGGATAGTAGCTTACCAACTAAGTTGGACGGGCAATTCCCGAAAAAATATATAATTTACCTTATATGTTTAGAATAATTACAATAATACCCCTCTAATAATAATTTTTTCAATTAAGTCACTATTTTTATTGAATAAAAATAATATTTTTTATTATTTCGGGTCGGGTGAACTCTTGTTTTGGTCGGGTCGGGTCTCAGGTGGAGGCTCCCCTATTCTCGGGTTGGGTCGGGTAGACCAAAAACTCGACCCATCCCATCCCTATTCACGAGTGAATGTTATTGTAATGTAAATAGTATATTATAGATTTATATATATATATATATATAAATATTAATATTTTATATGATATAAAACTTGTAATCGTATAATCATATTTTATTAATAAATTATTGGATGCAAAATCAAGACCCTAATGTAAGCATTAACTTAATTACATATTATCAAAAAATAATTACATGGACAACTAAACATAATTAATTCTTGACGTTTTAGCCTCGAGGTTAAGTTTAAATTTAATAGGTCATGCAAAATTTCAAAATTCGACTTAATTGATCATTAAATAACCAAAAATAATTTAGCTGTTTAAATAGTATCATATTAAAATGAATTAAACGTGAATTTACACATTAATCATTAAAAATATTAGTTTAATTAATATTTATATTAAAATAGTGTTTTAGCTCCTTTTAAAGATCAATGTAAAAAAAACTTTTTTTAAATATTAATAACTAAATTTTAATTAAAAAATCAAATTGATAAAATATATAAACGATGATAATTAAATTTTTGGTTAGTAATAGTATTATATAATCTAAAATTTAATTGATCTGAGATAATATATCTATATGAAATAAATAGAACCATAAAAAAAATAACCCTACATGTCAGTATTGTTAATTCCAAATAGCAACACTTCTCTACTCACTTCGTTGAGCTATAAATAACTGTCGACTGCCCACCATTTTCTCCACATCAAAACTTACTTCGATCTTTACATAAATGTTATTTCCCAATATGATGAAGGCTCTGCTAACCGTTTTCGTGGTCGGAATTCTCGCCGGATCGATGTCGGTAATAGCTCAGACATTGTCCGATATTGTGACTGAAGAGTTCTTTGAAGGCATAAAGGCTCAATCAGATCCAAGTTGTGAAGGGAGAAACTTCTATACAAGGGATGCGTTTCTTCAAGCTGCCGAAGACTATCCACAATTCGGTACAGCCGACGATCTTAGGCGTGAGGTTGCGGCTTTCTTCGCTCATGTCACCCATGAAACCGGACGTATAATCACTCTCTTCCTCTAATAAACCCAAAATTACGATTGAAACATACATGTATTGAGTAATATTTGTGTTTATTATGATTACGGGTGAAACGAATGCTTTTGTTTTGTACAGATCTTTGTTTCATAAATGAGATAGATGGTCCAAGCTTCCCCAACAGTCAATACTGTGATCCGACCAACTTTCCGTGCAACCCCGACAAAAACTACTTCGGTCGTGGCCCGATCCAACTAACTTGGAACTTCAACTACATACCGGCCGGGGAGAGCATCGGGTTCGACGGACTAAACTCGCCTGAAACTGTGGCCAATGACCCTGTCATCTCCTTCAAGACGGCCTTGTGGTTTTGGGTGAACAATGTTCAACCGGTCATAGGTCAAGGGTTCGGGGCGACGATTCGAGCCATTAACGGGGCTATCGAGTGTGACGGCAGGAACCCAGCTGCAGTAGAGTCTCGGGTTGGGTACTATATAGATTATTGTAACCAGCTCGGTGTTGATCCTGGACCTAATCTTAGGTGTTAGAATTTTACGTTCGGTTCCTACTACTTAATCCTCATAAATAAATTGACGATGTATGTCATGAAATCAACACTATAATGAAATTAATATATTACATATATATATATTTGATGTATTGTCAATGAAATATTTTACAAATAATGGTAAAAATTATGATAAAAATTTTCACGACAAATTTAAAAATAAAAAATTAAAAAAAGAGATGAAGAAAGACATTTTTCATCATTTTAATAAGTACACTTGATAATACTTTTAATTATATATTTGTATACTCTCTCTTGAACCCTCTATTTGATTTATTATTCTCAAAATTCTCACTATTTATTAATTAAGAGTTTGACTGATCAATGACTCTATGTCAAATAAGTGAATAACAAATCGACGGCATAATACCTTATCCTTCACATTGAATCACTATCTCATTTGATGTGCATTAATAAATCTTAAAAATAATTATAATAATAAATTAAAAAATCATTTTAAATAGAAGATAATAAAAATGTATACATTTTATGTATGGAAATAATATTTCTTCAAATATAATAGATTATCATATAAATTTAAATTATTAAATGAATGAAAAAAAAACCATTTATGATTTACCCAATAAAATAATAAAAACATATGAAGAATATATATATGGGACAAATGCAGATATTAATTTTAGAGGGTTGATTTTGACATTGTAACTCAATATGGCTTTAAAGAAAAATCAGAATGTTAGGGTTCACTTTAACTCTTGCATAACAACTTAGCTGGTACTGTCATTCACTCATTCTAATATAAACTTTCAGAGGGTAAAATATATAAATGGTCATTCGATTATAAGATGATGTTTTGTTAAGTCTCTTGCTATTAAAAATTATAAAATAATCTTTCAATTATAAAGTTTTGTTTTGTTGAGTCTCTGATACAAAATGATCGTAAAAACTATTCATATATTCCAAACTAGACATTTTTCGTTAAAAATTGACGGTCGTTTGATCTTAACGTTAATATACTTATTGAGATATGATAAAATCATATTTTAATAATGTTTATGCACCATCGTTGTTTTTAAGCATTGACTTGACGACATAAAGTTTCAAGCATTGGTTCAACAACATAATATAATTAAACAAAGAGTCGATCCACAAAATAAAGTTCAAACGGTTTTGGGATAAGATTTTATCATATCCTAGTCAACATATTAACGTTCAACATAAACTGCTGCCATTTTTTAACTGGAACATGACGAGTTTGAAACATATGAATAGTCGGGAGAGCATTTTGTGACTTTTAATAGTCAGAGACTCAACAAAGTAACACCAATAATCATGGATCATTTTGTATATTTTAATAGTCTTCTAAAAAAAAGTAGCACCCTATAGTCAGGGGATCATTTGTGTACTTAACTCAATTTTATATTAGTTAGAGTATATTAAAAGTAGTATTTGTTGAACTGATTGAATGAACATAGTGATTAAAGAGAATATTTTTTTTTGAGATATTGAGTTCGAATAGTTACGTCTGCAGGGTGTATATGCGTTGTTAATGGCTAAGAAAGATTATGAACATATACTATCTTATAATCACCTCATAATATTAAAATTAAGGGTAAACTACATATTTGGTCACTTTCGTTTGAGTTTTATAAACATAAGATCACTAGATTCAAAAAAATAATACATAGTCATTTTCGTTTTATTTAAATTAAGACGTAGTCGCTGAAATATTGAATTCCGTTAGTTTGATGATGTGGCATATTAGTAAAAGGGTTTGATTTTTAGTTTAACCCCTAATCTTTAGATAAAATATTAATTAGGGACCATTTTATAAATTCAAAATAATTTAGGAACAAAGTTATAATTACAATATTTTTTTCTTCTTCCCCTACCTTCCCCCACCGAGTCCAAGTCCAAGTCCAAGCTCTCATTCAATGGGTTTCTCGATCGATAACTCGGTAACACAATCCCACACCCGAACTCACAAAATCTTCCTTATCAGCAACTATTTCCTCTTGGGAACAGCTTCCAGCTGCATCTTCCTCACACTCTCCCTCCGCTTATTTCCTTCCTTATTCGGCTTCTTCCTCATCCTCCTCCACGCCATCACCATCGTCGGCGCCATCTCCGGATGCTTCGTCGCCGTCTCCTGTTCCAACAGGTGTTGCGCAGCTCCCATGGTGCTGACGTCGATATTCCAACTTCCAAGGCTCCGTTTCGGTTCTCATCTTGACCCGAACTTCCGATTTCTTGGGGTACTTGAAATCCTACGTGAAGGAGGACGATGGGGTTTTGATATTGAAATTGGCCGGCGGGCTTTGCGTGGAATGGCTCGTTTTGGGACTTGGTTTTGTGTTGAGGTGCTATGCTCTCTGCTTTTGATTTCATAATCTTGTATTGTATGTTTAATCATCAGATTGTGATTCATATTCAAATTGTTGATTTGCGTTGGGATTTAACTTGTTGAAAATGTTACCCGCTTTTTCATTGTCCATAGCCATGGAAGCAAAAGAAAACGGAGCAAGTGGGGAAGGTAGGGGAAGAAGAAAAGAATATTAAAAAAAGCCTAAATTATAACTTTTCCATAAATTACTTTAAAATTATAAAATAGTCCATAATTAATATTTTATCTAAAACTCGAGAGTTAAATTAAAAATTAATATTTTATTAACGAGTCACATCATTAAATTAAAAAAAATAAAATTAAAAAAATAATTATATATTATATTTTTTTAAATTCAGTGACGATACATTTATAAAACTCAAACAAAATTCTAAATTTATAATTTATCTTAAAATTAAATATTATAAAATTTCGTTATAAAGATCATCCTTTTTATCTATAATATTAAAATTTATATTTAGAATTTTATTTAAAGAAATTTAACATCTTGTGTTTTTATTATACCAAGTCATAGCTGCTATTTACAAGTGAGGTTTATATTAACGAAAAGCGTACGAGCACGAAGTCAAAGTCAGAACAACTGGCAGCAGCCCGAACACTGCACCCCAAATTTTGACTTCCAAAGGCCACCAATTTTCACCCTATATCTTCTCTACTCATCCCCGCCATTCTTTTCCCATCAAACACATTCTTCAGTTCCAAAAAATCTCATTTTTCCTCCGATATGAGGAAACATATACTAACCATTCTTCTGGCAGTGATTATTGCCGCCGGAGCAACCGCTGTGAATGCTCAAAACTGCGGTTGTGAACAAGGTTTATGTTGCAGTCGGTGGGGGGTTTTGCGGCACCGGCGACGATTATTTCGGTACAGGGTGCCAATAGGGTCCTTGTAATCCGCCGCCAACTTTAAACAACGTTTCGGTGGCCAATATCGTTTCACCGGAATTCTTTAATCGGATTTTGGATGTTGCGGAAGTTAGTTGTGAAGGGAAGAATTTTTATTCGAGATTTGCATTTCTCGAAGCTCTCGGGCCTTATCCTCGGTTCGGAAGAATCGGATCCGCCGATGATTCTTGGCGTGAGATTGCGGCTTTCTTTGGCCATGTCACCCACGAGACTGGACGTAAGACCCCTCACTTTTGTTACTCGTAAATGTTTAGTTTGGAGTAGGGTTTTTCGAAAAATGTGATAGCTCTATGAAATAACGATTTCACCGTCGTTCGAGTTATTTGCTATACCCTAATAGCGCTTAATAACGCATGCGATGGTCGTAATCATGATAATCCTGAAATGACTTAAAATACGATCACGATACGATTTGAAACCCTGATTTGGAGACTAGGTGTTGCATGCATTTTTATATAGTATAGTTGAATCAAATGGAGTTAAATTTAAATTGTAAGAAATTTGAATTTGAGTAAATAAATATTCGAATATGTATACTCGAATCCAACACTTTTCAATTTTCATGGTAATTAACCAGCAAAAACCTTTCTTTTCAAATGCAGATTCTTGATACATAGAAGAGATAAACGGTGCCACAAGGGACTACTGCGATGAAACCAGCACACATTACCCATGGTCACATCCGAGTAACGTTGGTTGTTTTTAGTGTGTAAATGAATAGTGTCTGGTGAGTTGTTCGTATTGTTCGTATAGCGTTCATTTTTTATGTTCATTTAATAAACGAATAAACTCGGATAGAGGTGTGTTTGATTCGCTTATATTTATGAACAAACTCGTTTATGAGCTCATTTATCGACTTGTTCATTTATGTTCATAAAATCTGATTCTCCTTTTCTTTTTATTTTGTTACATTTTATCTATTGGTGAAGGTAAGGACTAAATTAAACACATGGTAAAAGTTGAAATTTAAAATGTTAATTTTAAGGAGTTTAATCACTGGTGGCGTAATTTTACCATTTTTTGGCTTGCAAATGAAATGATAAAACTAAAATTTAAACTTATAAACGAACACTAAATGAACGTTAAACGAATATGTTCTTAAAAGCTTAATGAACATGTTCATGAACATATAAACAAATATGTTTGGAACAATAAATAAATGAACACGAATACAACCCGAATAAAACCGAATATGAATACTTTCAAAAATAAACATACGAAACATTATTTGTTCATACTCATTTCATTTACACCCTTAATTGTTTCCGTCTTTCTGACAGAACTGCTCAATGCAAAGAGAAGATGCTGCTCAGCTTCATCTATTCATATTACATGCAGCTCTGGATATTGTTCAAGATCTTGCATTGACCACTAGTGCGATACAAGTTATATTTCTCATGACATAGCATGTTCCGAAGAACAGGCGTTGCTATATCGGTTTCATCTTACATTCCCATAACTTGGATAACTTTTGTGCTCGTTTCTGTTGCAGGTTCTTGAAATCAGTTGACAATGTTTTGGTGGTGTCAGGTTTATGTTGGGCTTGTCCCTAATATACGGTTAATATATAGTGTTACCGGATACATTAAAAGATATTTGATAAATTCAGTTCAGTGCTACCGGAAATATCGAGTAATAATAATGTAATAGGTAGAAATCATGAAGAAATATTAAAAAATTTGGCAACCGAGAAACTTAGTTTGTCAGTTTGTGTTGATACTGTATAAAAATGTATCGATCCATAACAATATAACAGGTAAAAAAATGCCAAAACCGGTCTATAAATGACAAAACCGACAAATCGCTATCGGATATGTTGAAAGTGTCGATACATTAATATAAGTATCGACACCTTTGGAATTTAAAAGAGGAGCAGTAATGACGCCTATAAAGTGTCTATACTTTATAAAAATGTATCGATCCATAACAATATAACTAGTAAAAAAAATGACAAAACCAGTCTATAAATGACAAAACCGGTCTATAAATGACAAAACCGGTAAAGTACTATCGGATATGTTAAAGGTGTCGATACATTAATATAAGTATCGACACTTTTAGAATTTAAAAGAAGAGCAATAATAGCGCTTATAAAGTGTCGATATTTTATAAAAATATATCGATCCATAACAATATAATAGGTAAAAAATGCCAAAACCGGTATATAAATGACAAAACCAGCAAAGCGCTACCAGATATGTTGAAAGTGTCGATACATTAATATAAGTATCGACACCTTTGGAATTTAAAGGTGGAGCAATAATGACGCCTATAAAGTGTCAATACTTTATAAAAATGTATCGATCCATAACAATATAACAGGTAAAAAATGACAAAACCGGTCTATAAATGACAAAACTAATAAAGCACTACCGGATATGTTGAAGGTGTCGATACATTAATATAAATATTGACACTTTTAGAATTTAAAATAAGAGCAGTAATAGCGCTTATAAAGTGTCGATACTTTATAAAAATGTATTGATCCATAATAATATAACAGGTAAAAAAATGTCAACCGGTTTATAAATGACAAAACCGGCAAAGCGCTACTAGATATGTTGAAAGTGTCGATACATTAATATAAGTATCGACACCTTTGGAATTTAAAAGAGGAGCAGTAATGACGCCTATAAAGTGTCGATACTTTATAAAAATGTATCGATCTATAACAATATAACATGTAAAAAAAATTAAAAAAACCGGTCTATAAATGAAAAAACCGATAAAGCGCTATCGGATATGTTTAAGGTGTCGATACATTAATATAAGTATCGATACTTTTGGAATTTAAAGAGGAACAATAATAGCGCCTATAAAGTGTCAATACTTTATAAAAATGTATTGATCCATAACAATATAACAAGTAAAAAAATGACAAAATCGGTCTATAAATGACAAAACCGGTAAGCGCTACCGGATATGTTGAAAGTGTCGATACATTAATAAGTATGCGTAATAAATTATCAATATTTTCAAAGAAATGTGTAAATAGCTTATCGAAAGTATCGACACCTGACATAAAAGTATCGACACTTGGGTAATTGTATCAATTAAATATAAATAACATATCCAGTGTAAATATAAAGGGCATAGCTAAATACCCTCTGAAAATAGATAGAATACAGACAAGTTTTTGAAATCGAAGCGTAATTGTTGCTGCGTTCAGAAGGCGTTTCTAAAGAGAAGTTTGTTTGTTTGTTGTTGCAGTCGAATCGAAAAGTATGTTGTTGAAACCCTAGTTTTTTATTATTACAGTAATTGGAAATAAGGTTTTTATGTGTTGTTTGGGGTTTTCGAAGTAAAGAAGCATTTGTGACCGATTACATGTAGAAAGTGATATTCTAGGTAGAAGATAAATATCGATAATTTTATTTAATATTATAAGTAGAAAATGATATTATAGGTTATATAAATATGTCGATAGTTGGAGTATTGAGTGTTCCTATTCGTTTGAAGGAAATAGGGATTGGGGATTTTGAATTGAAGCCAAGAAGGATTGGGACCGATTATATAATATTATAGGTATAAAATAATTATGGATACCTATATATAATATTATAGATAGAAAATGATATTTTAGTTGTAAAAATGTGCCAACACATTTTGTAGTGGCCATTCAAATTCTTTTGAAGAAAACCGTTTTACCACAAGAGTAGTTATCTATATTTGTATATTGAATAAAGTGTATGTAACAAGTATTTGATTTGATTGCGTAAATTGATATATGAAGGAAAAATGAAGTTATTGGGTGGAAAAATTGTTGGTGACGCAGATGACTTTGAAATTGAGGCCGAGACTCGAAAGTAACCAAAGGGTAATATATGTACTTCTAGTAAGTATCAATGTCTTTTTGTTATTATTGTTGAAATGATAATTGGATTAAAGTATTTAAGAACTTTAAATTGATTACAAATTTTAAATGTTGACAGTAAGGCCGAATGCCAAAGGATGAAGGAAGATAGCACACACATCGGTTCGGTATGTAAAATGAAATTGACATTGAGTATTATTTAGCGTTAATGTATTGATTAAGAAATATTGATGCTTAATATTAGGTGAAAAATGATATGCTGGC